GCCTTCAGTTTCTCCTTATTTAGATTCGTTCAGGTCAGAGATAGAAAATAGAAGCTGAAATCTCGAACTTCCAAGTAAAGGATGAATCATCGGAAGGGCTTATTATTTAATCATGTTTATTCTGTTGATCGGTGCAGAAAATGGATGATGGGGCGCCAGCTTGCAAAAAGCTGGTACGAATGAGCTCTAATCTTTAGTTCTTTTAGCTTGACTGAGTTCAGTTTTCCGAAAAGCAACTGAAGTTTAATGGATTTTGTTTCTATTTCTCTCTTTTTGCCCATTTTGAGCGCACTCTTTTTTACTGGACACACAACTCTGAATTTGTAGAGATTTTTTTGTTTCGGCGGAAATAAAAATCTATGAGATTCAGATCAGGCGTACAGGAAGGCGTGGGCTCTCACCATGAATAAAAACAGGCTCTTTACTAAATTAAATTAGCAAACTCTTTTTTTTGGGTATGTTGATACTGTAATTATTTTGTTGTTTTTTTTTTTAATTTAACAAAGTGAATTTGTGAACAATTTTGGGCAAAGCAGATATATTGCACTTAAGGAGAAACATATTTCTACCAAAGTCATAATAACAGTTAACTAAAATAGCATCCAGCAACAATAAGCAAGTAGAAATAAACGATAACGAAATTAAAAAATTGTTGATAATGCTTTAGATCTGAGACTATATGGGTTATTTCTTAGGATCCTTAGTACTTCAAAAATTTTTCACATAAAAAATTTATTTTAATTTTCGGTTTTTATAAGTAATTTTTGAAATAATGTCGATATTTGTATGAAACTTAGTATTTTCTGGCTTCATAATATAATACATTTAAATTTAATCTTTGTGTTGCAATTTCTTGCTCTATTTTCAAAGGTCACGTTTTTGTGCATGCTTGTACAACAATTGTTAGCAAGGAAATCAATTCCACTATTTTTACTTAAAATATTGGAAATGCAAAAGCTTCTATAAACGCTCACTCTTTCTCTCATAAGAGTTAAAAACTCATATAGTAAAACATTTAGGTAAAAATTTATTGTTCTAATTACGAAAAGCCACCAGATGTAAATTGACTAAGTTACAATTCATCTTGTAGCATGTTTGCTACAAAACTCTATGCATATTTCACTCGATCCAACGTTAATTTCGAAACGGTCAAAAGGAGGCATTTATCAATCATAATAACTACATGATTAATGAAATACGTTTGGTACAAAAGAAGTGTTAAGACCCATTTTATAGCGTTGCTGCGTTTAGTTTTGATTTATGTACGTGGCATTAAGGTGGATAAATAATGATGTTACTTGGCAAGCAAATAATTTTCCTCATATAGCTACTTAATGTTCTAGGTTGATGGAATTAAGCTATATTAAAAAAAAACCGCATTATACCGGGTGGTGTAAAATTCATCAAACAAGGAGGAAATTGGTTCTTGTTCGGCCAATGTCACGTGGATTAACTGCAGAACACCCTTTTCTTGAGCAAAATTACACCTTTCTGTTGTTATTAAATAAGCAAAATGAATAAGGTTTTTATTGAAGGTCGGATAATTAATTAATGTGCACCTATTGGCTCAAAAAAGCGTTCTATATTGAATTGTTCCCCGATAATAAGTCACTTACACCGTTTAGATAGCTATTTGGAACGCGATTGTGGCAAATATGCTGGTGTAAAAATGACGGCCAATTACGTTCGAAACATAATCCCATTGTCCATTCAATCGTAATGGCTGTTCCCAAAGAAGCACTAAAATTCCTAAGCCTTTAATTGCTTATGAAATAAACATTTCATAAGAGCTACAATTTAATAATAAATAATAACATGTTTCCAAACCCGCATTAAACACTTTATGGGCTCACCTGGTCGTTTTTAATCATTCATTTCCTTTATTTTAAAAAAATTGTAAATTGTTAATTAGCGGCCGTTATTATCATAAACGATGTACTCGCTTTAAATACGTTAATAAGAATATTCAATACGGACATAATTAGCGATATGAAAACTAATTAATTCAGTGTGTAGTTAATGGATCCTGTAAGAATGTATACCTAGTCCGATTATTGCGATAATTTAGTCAAATACCTTTAGCTCTTGTTTTAGAGCGTTAATATAAAAAAAATGATGAGTATATTGAACCAGACAAATGAGTTTTGCCTATTGAAACTGTGAGTTAATTATGAGAATTTAGAGAGAAGTGGGAATTCTAATGCTTCGATAAATTTACTACTTTAACTTTTGTTCTGTTTTAATTATGTATTCCTTATCCAGCTTTGATATGCCAGCAATTCGTTATCGGGAGACCATTAAAAAATGGTTGCGTTCTAAGTATCAAAAAAAATGCGGTAATGAGAGTGTTTATCGCGTGCGCAATTATACGAGAAATTAAGGCAACTAAAAATAAATAATATCACAGATAAATGGAAAAATTAATATTCAATTGGCTGCAACCGGTGGTCGTTTACGAAATACCCATATAAATTGTTCAAAATTGCGTAGTTCTACTGGAAATTCTATTAGGACACAAAATCTTTAAATTTCTGGTGTCTTATAGATTAAAGGAAAATTTACTGTTTGCACTTTTTATGCAAATAAATTATTGATTTCATTCAATGTTTTTCAGTCATTAATATTACAGTTCGGACTACAAATCATTTTTTGTTTAATTTTGCATTTCATCTGGAAAGTTAAATTATGCTTCTTTAACTTACACAGTAGGTATACATTTAAGATAGTAAGTGACGAACCAATTATTTCAGCGCTTTCTTTCCACACATTTTTTTACTGTAATAAAATTTTATTGAACGAGATATGGTCAATTTTTAAGGCGATATTCTGATTCTTCAACATTGAGCATACCAAATTTGAAGCTGGGTAGAAAGTATTGGAGATACAAAATTTGAAACTTGCTTAAAAGATAGTACTTGAATCGATCTATCGAAAAGGGCTTTATTTGCCAAATTTCTTTGCATACTCAAATTCAATGCAAATGCTGAAAAACCTGAATTTTATTTTCAAGCAAAAACAAAAAATTCCAAACTTATTACAGTCTGCTGAAACGGATTGATGTTTCCATCCTTTAAACAGATATTTTGTAACCAATTTTGAAAACAATTTTTGTTTTGGAAAAGTTGTTGGGTCTCTTTAAGGAGCGAGGACACTTAAGTAAATTTTCTTAGGATAAAAAAACGCTTGAAATTTTAATTTGCAGGATAAAGTAATACATTTGAAGACCAGGAGGGCAAAACCATGCGACTTACTTTTAAGCAAAATGTTTAGCTTGTATTTCACAATATGAGTTCCAAAAAGCTAAATAATTGACGGATATTATATTTTTAATCATTTCTAAAAACTAGATAATTACTGCTGCTGGAAAATGGGTTATAGTTTTGGAGCCTTGCTTGCATTCTTCTCTCGTTTGAATTGTTTTTTTTTATTTACATAAAAAAACATCACTTCTGCAGTTTTGCTTTTTCTTCTACTTCTCGTTTCTTTTCCGATTTGTTTTCAAGATCTTCGATTTGAGCTTTGAACAGGTCGCACAGTGCCCTTCGCGGGTACTCAAGCCCAATGTTAAACTTTCAGTTAAATATATTTCTAAATTTATCGTATGTATGAAACAGGATTTTTAGGGTTTTTTGATTTACACATCGGCTAACTTCGTAATATTTTGCGCTTCGGGGAGGCATATTTTCTTTCCCTTCTTCAGAGAGTAGTGAGACTTGCACCCTGCAGGGAATCTAATAGACTCAATCACTTTTGTTGTTTTTTCCTTAGGGACTGCGTACTTTCAGATTCTATGTTTTTTTCTTTCAAAGGCTTCAAAGGCTAATTTTTATATTATGTTTTGAACGCGACTTTTTGGCATTTCTGTGGATTGTAGCAAATGCATTCATACACACTTGCATATTATTAGGTTACTCCTCTGAAGGCAACGAACTGGATACGCATAAGAAACATTGTGTAAAATTTCAACTTTTTTGAGTTAAAAAACATCAATCGTAATTCGGTATATTCATTTTCATTTGAAAATTCTTGGTTTTCCTTTATTGCAAATCGCAGTGAAAATGTTTGCACTTAGAGTCCAGACGAAACTCATGTGTGGTAGCACTTAAAACTTTCATAACACCACTAATTCGGCCAGTTTTCTTCTTTTTCTCTGCAGAAAACTTTACCGCCGAGTCAAAGTCTGTACTAGAACCTAGATTTTCAATTATTAAATTGAAAAAAATTGAACAAGCATTATGTGTAATTTAAAAAGAAAGACGAGCCACGACAGGCGGCGACTCACAAAACACTCTCGACTCGACTTATCCAAATGCGAATAGCTTAATCAACTGCGACCATGCGATGCATTTTTAAATCCTTTCCAGACCCTTAAAAAGACAAACTTCTCAATTACAACTTCCCTTATGTGTTGGGCCAACACCAATCAGTTGTTGCTGTCTATTTCAGTCCGGTATCTCCAAAATTATGGCGACGTGTATTATAGAAAAGTACCGATTTGTTACGTCGCCTACATAAAACCCATCAAAAAAAAACATTCAAGATAGCTTTAAGCTCCTGTTGATATTCCTCAATTTTTTATTCAATGTATCTCCGCTCTAATGGACGTGAAGATTACATTTGCAAAATGTTTGCCTGTCGAATGGTTCACTTTCCTTTACACCTGAACGTTAATGGCCACATAAATGCTATAAAGGGCCGGCTTTTCCAATCCGATCCGTTGAGACAGTAAAATGCGGGTTACCAACTTCGAAAAATGTTTAACTACTTGCTTGCGGCATCATATAAAATTTACTTGGCAATTAATTGAAGCTCCGCCATTGAGCGCATTGAATTATTATCGTGCTAATTAAAATCCCTAGTTGTTTTGCAAACTTTGTAGGTTCAATTAGAAAGCTTGAACCTTGGCTAGATCTGACATCTTCACGCTTGATTTAAATTAGCTGCTGTCTTCTTGTCCTTGGGTAATTCACTAGCGAAAACCGAAAAAAAAACAACTGTTGTGCCATTTTGCAAATTTATCTTATTTAAATGTATATATCTACACAAATCGTACATTTACTATAAGTAGACGGGATTGAACGGCAGATTATTTTCCGCAATATTGAAGAAGTTGCTCGTTGGTGCAGGCTTTGTAGCAGCACTCATCAACCACGCCAGGATCCCTGGTGGTTCTGCTGAAGAAAGGAGGAAATATTCTTTTGTTGAAATACGATAGACCAATATCGGTACTATCTTCCGACAGGCGGTTTCCGTTTTCAATTTCCTGGTATTTTCTCGGGAAGTTCATTACATCGAAAACTAAAAAAATGAGGCTCGATGTTTATCCCTGAATAAGATGGTGATCTGAGGTGTTGATGAAGATGCAAGTCAGTGAGTGAGTGAATGGCAATATAACAAATTTGTTTTTTTCAAGAGCAGAATAGTTCAAGTGAAACTGTTGATTTTTAATAAAGTTTCGGATAAATTACTAATGAAGGACTACAATGTGAATTTGAATGTGTCTCAAATTGGAGAAAATCTGCTTGGGTTCACTAAGTATTGGAAAATTGCCTTTTTGAATAGCACTTGAACAAACAACAACAGATAATAGGGAATAGCAACTAATAGATACAATTCTTACCAATTTTTTTCGAAGGTGATCCAAAAATTCCGTTACACAAACTATGCAACAACGATACGAGATTATCTCCACAATGTCGGCGAGCCCTTGGAGAAAGTTGAGATTCTGTGTTAGTTACATAGAAAACTAACAAAAAAGCCAAACACCAAGCAAGCTTCATGTTCAGTCGTGTAGTTGGGAAACACTTAGGAGTTGCTATCGAACCAAAAGTCGCAGAATTGATAACTCAGTGCTGTTTAAACGGCTTTATATATTGGAAAATAATGATGAATATTAATGAAAACTGTTCATTGGACAAAATCGCTAACGACATTTCTAAAATTGAGCCCACTAGAAGAAATTAATTATGCTCAAGGTGGCTACAAGGAGAGATGTTGTGTGGAGACACTTAAAACTATTGATTTACGCAAATTTTACAAGAAATCACACATAGAGATAATGATAGAAGTTTGGAAATCGCTTATTTTACGCATGCTAGACGAAAACAGGTTCTATTGATCAACAAGATATGGAAAAATTCACACTGCTTTTTGAAGAATTGTAATAAAAATATTTCTACTATTATCAAACATAATCTATTTTTCTTATTAAGGCGGTATGATGTTGAGTAGCAAAAATCTAGACCGATATTCCAGAATGGAAGGAAGTTTCTTCAAAAGTGCAAAAAAATCTATCTTGCTCACATACATTTGAGTGGTTCAGACGTCAAAGGGTTCAAATGCAGTTTTTATATCAAAACGGGTTGGTTAATTAAGTGAATAATCTCATGGCCAAAAGCTGTAATTATTTGGTGGTAAATGCATTTTGCTATTGCCTCGCTATATTTTACATTTTTTTTTAATGTTTACAGAACTTTTGAAACCAACTTTCATGTTGATTATCTCACAACAATTACAAACGCTTTTAAACACTTGCACAGCTGGTTTCCTCAAATGTTTTGTCACAATCTGCATAGTATTTTAAATTGTCTCTACTTATAGAGCACGCTTACGAAACCGATCGTTTTCTAATAGAAGGTGTACGTTCAATGATTCGGTAGTTTTTGTATATCTTAGTTTTAGCATTACTAAGAGCTACACTATTTATTTTATAATTCAATTGGAAGCTTGTAATATTGTCTAAGAGCCACTATCATCTGGCATGTAAATGCAAGTAAATTCAACAATTTAAAAAAATTATTTGTGAAGAATTTGTAAGGACAAATTTACGTCAAAGCACTGGAGGTGCTTGGTACTGGCAGCGTCTTTGCTCACATTTGCTGCAAAGTCCAACAATAGAACCATGAGACTATTTTCGCTGCATTTGAATGAGCGGCCGCTTTAATATCTCAACATCAACAAGTAGATAATTATAAGAAACCATTAATATTCCCTACTTAAAATATGCAATTTTTAATTAAAACAACAAATTATTTGTTTATGCAATTTCGTTTCCAGTATTAATTGAAATATGTCGAGAATTAATTAATGTTGGTTTCATTAGGAGTAGTTTCGTGCTAATTGGAATTCGTTTGGTGATATTAAGGCATTTTATTATTTATTGGTAATTTAGTTATTAAATGTTCCATTTTTTATTTACATTGTGCTGGGTTGTTGGAGTGGGGGTGAGTTGGCTCAGCTCGAACCATTAAACTATTCTGGTTGATTTGAAATGTCAATTAAATAGAATGGAGGTAACTTTTCCATAGTAATGAAAACTTAATTAAATTAAAATTTCGAACGACCATTAAATATTTTCGGCTACAAAAGAAGCCGCGTAAATTTGAAACAATATGTGAGTTTGTATTTAATAGGCGCTCTGGGTTCTCAGCCAGCAGGACACCATTGAACTAATTTTGGACGCGGCAGGGAGCCTTTCCTTCGGCCCGCCTCTGTTGTTAAATGTGGGGTCGGTATAATCACAGATTTGTCATGTTTACACTAAAGACGTTTGGATATTTAGAACTCACCATCATTAAATTTAATTAATAACTTTTCGAAAAAACGACTCTCGAAAAGAGCGTTCTCATGATTGGGTATGCATGCATTCGTCCACCAGCAACTTCATCGTTAAGTTTAATAAGATCGCATTTTCATCGTGGGCTTTTTGTTTTAGGCAAACTGACTGATGATTTATTTTGCAATTGGCTGCCGGAATATAACGATTTACAGGAATGAAATCTGATATGGTCGTAAAATCAGGAGGAATAAGCTATTTGTTTTTCAATTTAAAATGTTCGGGCTGTTTTATTATAGAGTTTCAAATGCATCAAAATCTGCAAATATGTATGTAAAATTTCGTCAATGCCATTTTAAATTGCAAATTAGTCATTGATTTCATTACCAGCTGGTAACATTGAATTAACTAGATAACACACTTGCTATTTTTGCTTCCTCATTTCCAGCGCATTTTCAATAGAGAATTATTTTGACTGAAACATTTTAAATATATTAAGAACGTGGTACGGTTTTTCTCCAGCTTCAAGCTGTATCTAAAATATGTAAAATATGTAAATATCTAAAATGTTGACTAATTTGAAAAGTAGCGATTGAATCATTGAACCGAAATCAGATTCCAGAAAAAGGGTGTTTCGATGGCTTCTTTTCAAATAGATCGATATTTTCAAAAGATACCGATTTTTTTAAACCTGCGATTCTAGCTGATAAATTTACTTCGGATTCGAATTTTTCAAAGTTTCAAATTTGTATATTGATTTTTTTATAATTATAATTATATCATCCAATTTTCAATAGAGAATGCTTTTGACTGAAATATTATAAATTCCAATGCCAAAACATTATTTTTTTCGAATTTGATTTCGGTTTAATGTTTCAATGCCTACTTTTGAAATGAATGAAGATTTCAGATATACGGCAAATTTTTAAGTGTAGATTATAAGTTTCTCGGTGAAAAATTTATTTCAAATTTGAATTTTTCTCGCGCATTTTCAAAAGAGAATTATTTTGAGTGAAAAATTGTAAATATATTGAGAACGTGGTGCGGTTTTTTTCAGCTTCAAGCAAATCAATTGCAATTAAAATTTGCTGTTGGAAAAAATTGTTGTCCTCTAAACTCCTTTGAAAGGTAGCCATTTAAACACTAAACCAAGTAAAATAATTTTCTTCTTGAAATAGAATAAAAGCGTATTATTCCTAATTTCTTTTGAAGCTTTCAGTCAAAATTTCTCACTGTTTATTAAAAATGTAATGGTAAAATTCGAATTTCAGCTATATTGCTCAGATTAAAATTAAAATTTGCAGTTCAGAGACAAAATTTGGGAATAAAACGGCACATTTGGCCCCATTCTCATATATTAAAA